ATCAGGAGTGTATCAGGAGTGTATCAGGAGTACATCAGGAGTGTATCAGGAGTACCACAGGAGTGTATCAGGAGTACCTCAGGAGTACCTCAGGAGTGTATCAGGAGCATATAAGGAGTACCTCAGGAGTGTATCAGGAGTACATCAGGAGTGTATCAGGAGTACCACAGGAGTGTATCAGGAGTACCTCAGGAGTACCTCAGGAGTGTATCAGGAGTACATCAGGAGTACCTCAGAAGTACATCAGGAGTACCTCAGGAGTACATCAGGAGTACATCAGGAGTATATCAGGAGTACATCAGGAGTGTATCAGGAGTACCTCAGGATTGTATCAGGAGTATATCAGGAGTACCTCAGGAGTGTATCAGGAGTACCTCAGGAGTGTATCAGGAGCATATCAGGAGTACCTCAGGAGTGTATCAGGAGTACCTCAGGATTGTATCAGGAGTGTATCAGGAGTATATCAGGAGTACCTCAGGAGTGTATCAGGAGTATATCAGGAGTGTGTCAGGAGTATATCAGGAGTGTATCAGGAGTACATCAGGAGTGTATCAGGAGTATATCAGGAGTGTGTCAGGCGTACCTAAGGAGTGTATCAGGAGTCAATCCTCAGGAGTGTATCAGGAGTACATCAGGAGTACCTCAGAAGTACATCAGGAGTACCTCAGGAGTACATCAGGAGTGTATCAGGAGTATATCAGGAGTACATCAGGAGTACCTGAGGAGTGTATCAGGAGTACCTCCGGAGCTCCATGTCGTACCATTACCATCTTGGCTACCAGAGAAGAAAGCTCAATCACGGGCACTTCCAGCTGGCCAAGGCCTCCAACCTGAAAGTGCATCGCATCTCCTTCTCGTATTAATGCTTGCCCCGTGGCTGCAGGAGCCAGCGCTTGCGCTTCAAGAGCCAGCGCGTGATATACTGACTGCACCGAATAAATCTGGGTGCTGCAAGTCAGGCTGGGCTCCCTCTGTCCCTCCTTCGTTACCCAAAATAAATACTCGAGCACTTCAGCCGTGTGGGAGGCTGTGACGGGGCTTGTCCCGCGGGATGGGCAGGGCGGGCGCCCGCTGCCCACCGCTGCGGTGGGTGCACCGGGCTGGTGCGGGGAGCACCGACAGGTCCCATGTGATGCCAGGCTCTATGCAAGCGCCGGCAGCGTAGCAGAGGGAGCTGGTTTTTGCAGGCTATCAGCTATTTTCACAAGCAATTTCAGGTTGAAATGAGGAACAAACGGCCGTATTTAAACAGGGTAAGCGGGGGGTAGGAGTACATCTGTTCGCGTTTGGTGCCTGCAGGAGTTAGCGCCCGGCATCGCTGCCCGGAGCCGTGCTGGTACAGCTCGGGGCTCGGCCGCGGTGGGGCTGCAGCCAGCTCTTCCCACTGGCTTCGGAGGCTTTGGAGCAGGGCCTGGAGAGCCCTGGAAGTGGAGGACTTGGACACCGCTTGCCTACGGTTTTCTTGGCCCTGGCAGCCACGCAAGTCTCTCGCTTTCATAAGCACCAGCAGATTCATAAACAAAGTCAAGGGAAAATATCTAAAAGCAGCAATGTCAAAAGTTCACACGCTGAGTGACTGAGCAAGAATTCAGGGCTGATGGGTTGAAGATGAAAAGCCATAAAACTTCTGTTCCTCAACTACTACCAGAATGTTTTTTTTTTTTTTTTCTTTTTGAGAATCAAAGTGCAGCAGAGCCCCAGTAAAACTCTACGGCATCCCGAATGGTTTGTCATCAACGTCCAGGAAATTTCACGTGCCTCCGCCTTGTCCTTCAGGCCGCGGCTGCATCTTCATCCCCCGCAAGAGCAGTTCTTCTATAAATGCTGAAATATGGTGCCTGCAGTAATAGCCCACTTAAAATGTCTCATTATTGCAGTTTAACTGGTCATTAGCAGCTGGAATAGACTGATTTCTTACGAGTTATGGTTGAAATAATTACCTGACACTCTGAGCCATTAAAAACCAGTTAATGAGTAGAGGGGGAGAAGGTGCTGACGTGGACGCAGGCACTGCGCTGGCTGGAGGGGTTCCTCTGTAGGAAACCACGCTGAGGTTTGTTGCCTGTGGGATCCAAAGTAATTTAAGTCTGAGGTAAGTTAGGGAAATTGTTAAAAAATTAACCCGATATAAGTTAGACAACAGTCTAGCCACTGTACCAGTTCTAAAAAGTTCATTTCACGACGTTTGGCTCTGTATATGCTGAGTTGCCTTTTTTTTTCTTTTTTAATGGAACTAATTAGAGGCTGTGTAATTTCCAGAGGAGAAAGGCATCGTGCTCCGGGAGCGCTGGCTGCTTCTGAGATACCATGTTCACTCATAAACCTTGCCGTGTTCTGTATGCTTTCAGTAAAAATGGCACATTAGCTTTAGATGTGGTAAAGGAGTGGAGCAGTTTAAGGGTGAAATATTAGGGTGAAATTAGTAGTCTAAGGGTGAAATATTAGGGTGAAATTAGTAGTTTGAGGGTGAAATAAGGGATGAAAATTTCTCCGTCAGGAGAAATCCATTGACAGTCTTTGAGCATCCCGTTGGCCCGTGCTGTTGTCTTTGGCTGTTGACGTGTCTTGTTGGAAGAACCATTGGAAACTCCTGTTCATGGTAGGTGGAAGATGAGCAGGGCCCATCACAGAGAAGGATCAAAGCAGGTAAGGTGGGAAGGTGCCCGCTGGTATCTAGTGAACCCTGGGTTTCTTCTGCTTGGGTGTCCAGCTCATGGGTGTGTAAGACTTGGGCAATACAGGGGTTCCTCCATAAGAAGTACCTGTAGTAGAGCGTCCATCACTTCATGGTAGGTGTTGTCACTCAGATGGGTGTCACAGTTTTTGTAGTAAGCCAGGCTCGAGCCTTGTGGTCACATTGTGTTGGTAAGCGTCCCCCCCGCCGATGGTGCCTTGCCCTGGCCGTAAGCCCTGTCCTTCTCCCCGCAGTGCTCCATGCCCGCCTGCGTCACAGCGTTCCACGTCACCTGCGCCTTCGACCACAACCTCGACATGCGGACTATTCTAGCAGACAACGACGAAGTGAAGTTCAAGTCCTTCTGCCTTGAGCACAGCACTGGTGCCACCAAGTTGCCCGAGGAGGCACGGACAGAGCCTGACCAAGCCCAGCTGGACTTGGAGAAGGTCACGCTGCGGAAGCAGAAGCTCCAGCAGCTGGAGGAGGACTTCTATGAACTCGTGAAGCCTTCGGAGGTGGCGGAGAACCTTGACTTAAGCGAATCGCTGGTGGATTTTGTCTACCAGTACTGGAAGCTGAAGAGGAAAGCAAATTCCAACAAACCGCTGCTGACACCAAAAACAGATGAAGTGGACAACTTGGCTCAGCAAGAACAGGATGTTCTCTACCGACGCTTAAAGCTCTTCATGCACCTCAGGCAAGACCTGGAGAGGGTGAGTACAGCTTTTCCTTCCACGGTGTACCCCTATGCTCCACCAGGGCTGCTTTAACGTGTGCTGGCACCTATAGAGAGAACCAGCCCTGTTCCCTGGTGACTCCGTTCGACTCCCGTAGCCGTTGCGTCCCTTCATCTAGAGCGTTATTCAGAAGAGTAGCGGTGCTCAGCGTGTGTATCATCACTGCCAAAACACTGACACCGATGAAATAGGATAGTGGCGGTCTCAGCCGGGGGTTCAGAAGAGCAAATGTCTGTGGGGAGAGGTGCATCGGTGGGGCTGGGCGGCTGGGAGGCAGATGCTGCTGCTCCACTGAGCACTTCCTAGCCTCAAACCGTAAAATTATCCTGTGCTGCCCCTCAGATGCTTTCCGGCAGCAAGGCACAGGAACACTTCATTATTTACTTGCATTAAAGACGGGTGAGTGGCAGGAGTGAGCTGCAGGGCCAGCGGGACTGGGCATTCCCTGCCCTGCTGCAGCCGAAAGTGGGGCGGCTCCTGGGGGAGCTGCCGGCAGAGGCAGAGCCGCGCCGGAGGATGCAGACGGAGGATGCAGGTGCCCGCGGCACGGGGCATCCTCGCATCGGGGAGGGAGCAGCTGCCTCCACGGCAGCTTTTTTGGGGAGAGCAAACATCGGTGGAGCGGCAGTACCAAAGCGGTGCCGGAGCCCCCCCGGGCTGCGCTCGCTGCCGCACCGCGCTGCCTGCCTGCGGGTTTGGCTGTCATGGCTGCATGGAGGGAAGGAGCAGGCGGGAGCGGGGACGGGGCAGAGGCAGGCTGGAGAGGAGGAGGGGCGGCGAAGGCGAGAAGCGGTATGGGGAGGAAGCACGGGGTATGAAGCACAGCACCCGGAGTGAGACGGGAGAGTGCGGCCAGGGAAGGGGCGGGTGCGGTAGTGCTGCTGCTGGCGTGGGACATGGGCACAGCTCGGGGCAGCGCTGGGACGGGGACAGGCAGGGGCAGGGCTGCCAATCTGGCACGCAGGGGCCAAGCTCCCTTTCCTCCGGTGCTTAAAACCCGAGTCCTGCCCGTTCTCCCCTCTCCTGCTCCTGCCAGAGGGCTGTATCCCTGGCCCCTGCTTGGGTCCCCTCCTGACAGCCCACCCGGGGTGCAGAAGCCGTGGAAGGGCTCAGGGGATCTCTGGGAGCAGGCAAGGAAGGAGGAGAGCAGGAAAATGGCATTGCTTTGACCCGGTGGAGGTGGTGCCCCGAGCAGGGGGCCGGAGGGTGCTGCAGGGGACGTGCTGCTCCCTGGGAGGCGACGGCGGCGGTGACGCTGCCCCTGCTATCCCTGACCCTTCTCTCCAAGCCGCTGTGGGTCTGCGGCGTCAC